TAGAGGGTTAGAGATTGTGCTCGGATCTGGCTTTCGCAGGGGCTTCTCGGTTCCTCGACTGAGTCCCCAAAGATTCAGAATGTCTTTGGCTGGAGACACTGCGGGATATGGCATCGAACCGAGGTCAGTGGCGTGAATGCATCCTCTCTTGTCTGCAATCCCAAAAATAAACAAAAACGAAAAATACCTCAAAATGGCGGGCAGTAAACAAACAAACAATTGTCACTCCCCGAATTTGACTGTTTTATTTTTCCCGCTTTTGTACCTTTATTTTTTTCGTTCATCCATGGTTATTTTTGGCGCCGTATCTGTAAAGATTGGTGGTTATATATATATATATATATATATATACATGTACCATTATAGCAACTCCATTGGAGAAACAAATGCAATTCTTTCACAACCCGTAGAAATTGCATTAAATAAGGTTCCATAATTATAATCCATATTTGCTATCTAACTCAGTGGATTCGAGAAATATCACTTCAATCAAAATTAACCTTGAAATCAACGTCATTTTTGTGCACAGCTTTGAAAGTTCGTATTGTTATCATTATAATGAAGCAAGAAGCGCTCGAAACAAAAAGTTCTCGTTATCTCAGTGAAGAAGACAGAAACCGAATTGCACGAGCACAGGCTGGAATTTTCGATTTCAAATCTCAGCCAATACTTTAACGTTAACAAAAGCACAATTTACAGGATAATCCATGGGAAAACAAATAGCAGAACAGCTTGTGGAGGCCGTAAACTGAGTATATTTAAACAGGGGGACGACCTTATTCGTATTACGCTGAAAAAAACATTGCAGAAAATCTTTGTCGTCTATTCCACGGGAGATTCTTCCCCGCCTTTCATACTCCCTTCTGAAAAGAAGAACGAAAACATTTAAAATGCGTCAGGTTCCAGTGGACGTAAAGCCAGCATTGAACGCGCAGCAAAGGCATGCGCGCATTGATTTTGATCGAGAATTCACATCTCGAAGTGCGTCATTTTGGCGATCGGTTTATTTCGCCAACGCGTGCATGGTGTGCGACGAGCCTTGGAAGGTTCACAAAAAAGTCATTTGTTGTGAAAATTTTTTAAAGGAACTTATTCCACCAAATGAAAGAGTTTCTCACCCATCGAGATTACTCATCTGGGCAGAGACAAAACATGGTCAGCCTTTTCGGTGGACATCAGTCAAAGGCACCACGAATAGTGGGAAATTTGAATCAGTAATTACGACAATGTTTCCAGAATTTCACGAAAAAATCGTCTGGATAAGTTATCGTTTGTTAGGATAACGCTTTGTGTAATGTTTCACGAGAGGATAGTAAATTTATTTATTTAAGGGTCCTGGTTCACTTATTATTTGCTTTTAGACTTCAGAAATTAGGCATGACTCGAAGGTCCAGTTCGGGCAAATTCCTCCTAATAGCCCGGATCTCAATGTGATTGAAAATCTCTTTTCTGTTTTGAAGAGAGAGGTCAATGTGCTACCTGTACATTGGAGACAAGAAAGCGATAAGTACCAGAGCAAAAAACAAAAAATGACTTCATAAAAAAATGGCGAAATCGATCCTGAAGAGACTCGAAAAAGTCCTAAAGAACAAAGGCAGACCAATCGACTATAAGTGTACATAAACTTTACATCTGAATTATTATCAATGTTAATTTGTTGTAAATATAAACTTTTCCATTCTCTTTAGTTACCTCTTAACTTATCATGGTCTAGGTCAAACACTACTGACGAAATAGGAGTATCGGCTACGTTCTGAACCACTTCATCTGCTGAGTATCAACGAATCAGAAAAATCACATCTATAAAGACTCACAAGGGCTTGTTTATTATTGTTTGGAAAAAAAGTTTACTTCAGTATAAATGCTGTTGCCTATACGAAAGGACAAGTGTTTCACAAGGACCCGTTGCTTCAGTTTCGATTAGACCTATACATATATTCTGCCTCCATTACCCTGCGAGCTACACAGGTTGGCTCTTCACAGCCGCAGATCCAATAATGTTTGACAAGTCTATTCACACCCGCCCCTGGAGGGGTCACTCCAGTAAAGAAACACGGTGAGGGGCAGTTTACCGATCAAAAATCCCCGCTAGATGGACGTAGGTGCGGGGTACCTGGGGCTTCCTCCCGACGGTGGGAGAAGTCTTCGTACTTCATTGGAAAGCTACCGCCCACCCAAGCTGGGTAGCCGAAGCCAATAAGGTGCTGTCCCGTCCATTTTCCGCTTGTGTCATTGGGTGCTTGAGGTTAGGGACAGATCTCGAACAGCGAAACGACAATCAAGGCAGCAGCGAACAACACACTGAACCTAAACCCGAGGGCACCCATTCGGAAAAACATCTTTCACATCTGTCTAGTTTTTCCTCTCATAAATATATGCTGCCTGTTCCAAAGACTTCACTTTCTTTTACTCAAAAAATGCAGAAGGAAAGTAAACTAAAAATATGCCCATTCGTAAGCCCATTTTACGTAAACCTGTTTTCTTTATAGTTCACATATAAGCAAGCTTCGATACAATCAAGCGAAATCGGCGTTTGTTATATTAAACCGGATTTTATACCGTTAAACCTCATCAGCACTGCTTACCTTCCCAAGATCGTCTTTCTCTATCGTAACGATGTTAATTGGTTTTTAATGGCTGAAAGATTGAATATACAGAATGCTACGCCTAAATTGAAACAGACTGTGAGGGCAACATGGGACATTTCCTGGACTTACTTTTCCGCGTGCAAATGCATCACGATTCTTTGTTTCCGGATTCCACAGTGTGCGCATTCCAGTGTCCCCTCGATCACCTTGAAGCATCACATTCATACTTGCCTCTGTCCCGGCATTCCACAAGGTACCCGTAGTCACACGTAACTGATATCGAATCACTGAAAGTATAAACATGAAACGGGGTGTGGGAGATGCCTGAATTTTTTTGTTTGTACTAACTGTGATTTTACTTCGCAGCATCAGTGAAGCTACTTTTTGGACAAAGCTATCAGTGCATCCTTTACTTGTGCTCTATAACTCTGCACTTAACAAACGAGATACCATATCTAATCGGGTAAATAAACTGAAAAGAAGAAGTCCTCTCCCGTTTGGGACGAGTTGGGCACAGAGTTGTAAGATAAATGTGTTGCAAATGTTCAACAAAAGTAGTCAAGCAAATAGTGCATTTATATACGACATTGCAAAAATGTGTCCATTAGATTTCACGAATTTGTGAGTTACCCTTACTTTCGTAGAGCCTTTTTAAAAGCTTGTCCTTTGTGAGTTTGGATAGGACCACTTGCAGAACTGGCTGTATGACGAAAATTACACTTTTGATGAAAGCAAGGAAAAGCATTATGATCACAGGATATGTTGAAATCAACTATTTCGTGGTACTCTCATCAGTTGACTACATACATTCAAATTACGTTTTGGTTCAAGGCGTGACAAGTTTAGGGGAAGTGAAATCAATCAATACGAAGGCCAAAGGGGACTAATTCGAACCGGATTGAGCACTGAGTCAGGGAGCGTAATCACCGCAGGGTGGGGAGGAGAGGGACACTGGTACACTGGCGGCGCGAGACTGACCACGAATTCAGTCTAAATCGGGCTTGGGACGTCGAATGGCTGCTGCCTCAGCGGACTGTACTAGACGGCTACCCTTCTGGCAGACCAAGACAAAAGAGGCACTCTCAGGTTTGTTACATTCTTTGCAATCCAGTATATCTCGGGATATTGAACTGGACGGAAGCTTGAACATGTTGGGTGATAGATTCTTTGGTGTATGGTCTGCTATCCTCCTAGGCCATTGTTTCTCAGTTCTTTCGACATACTTAATACTGCAGGTACATTAAAAAACGTATAGACACACAGAGGTAACTGAAGAGTCCAGTTTGTTCTAGGTTGGATTCAGTGAGTATTCGCTTCATGTCGTGCGGTCTTAAAAGGGAGGCGACAGTATACGTTCTTTAGGTCGCTAGTCGCAACCTGCGCTGTATCGTCTATCATTTTGATCGCCTTGATCTTATGAAAGTATTGAAGGGAACTGGTTGCATAAAAAGTACACTGTCTAATCAGTAAGAATAAACAGTTGAATAAATAGATTGATTTGGGAGCTTATTCTACTAGCTGTCTGAACTGTCGCGATCTTCTCTCCACGAACTAGAGAAACATAACTCCACACCCATGAAATCATGTTATTAATATCAGCAAAGTAGGTCATCAACGAAAAAACCATGTATGTTGCACGGCTTTAGATTTTCAAAAAATCGTAGGTAATAGGGTATTGATGCAATCAAGACTAGATAAAGGAGTGGGGATTGTGATTTTGAGATGTGATTGCATACATCAAATGAAGAAAATGCAGGCATTGATCAATACCTGTATTCAACGATATGTCAAATTGACAAAGTTCCCAGTTGAGAAGGATTGAAAAATTTAGAGAGAGATTGATTCCAATACCAGACACAAAATGGAATAATCAATGCGCTAACATTTGAGCAGATCTGATCAATGGATACACATATTTCTAGATTGTATTACCTCCCGAAAGAACATAAAAACGTGCTTCCATAAGATCGGTTTTGAAGACGAGCTCACACTAAGCATAACGTGGTGGCGAAGTGATTTGGGTGCTTAAGGGAACCCGAAAAAGTCACCGTTTTCAAACAGTTTGCAAAAAGCTTCGTCTTATGGAAACTATATCGAACTTAAATCTCGAGAGTAAACCGATGCTGTCACTGGCTCTCTGCTTACTCCGAAAGAAACTGACCAGTAAAAAAATACAAAACTTGCATATGTATTTCATGCAGGAGATCGATATCAACATGGGTATTCGATGTTTATATACACGTAAAATATATATCGTTTCAATTCATGATAAAACACATATTCAGAAGAATGAGGCTGCAATGAAATCGCATTTAGGACCACATTATTAGCAAACATTTCAGGAACGAATTTGCAGACGATCATCCCGAGTCATAAATCAGATAATGCACCCTAAACAAATAAATAAAAGGTTAGAGGAGAACATTACTGTTCACTCAAGCGTAAGTTTGGCTAGGAAAAAAACAATAAACTGTGTTCAGTATCTAGATATATCTAGATATAGCCTGAAACCGCTGGAATGATACTTTTTCCAGTNTTAACACTGTATGAAAATGGAACAACAGCATTTATTTCTTCAGTTTTGTGCTCTCTCAAAGGAAAAATTCCCAGCCCGCTGCTTGGCTAATTTAAGAGCGAATCTTTGCTGAACCTTTATTGAGCCTATCAGTAATGAAGATCGTTTCTGTCGGAATGTTATGCATAAATCAGCTAACTGAAAACGTTTTCCACTGAGACAATGGAAGGGCATGAGAAAAGACTAAAAGAAATGGAAGCCGTTGGAAGCCGGCATTTAAGTTTATTTCCTTTTTTCAAGGAGGCAGAGGCTATTCGATTAAGTACATTGAGTGCGGCATGTAGCACATCCTACACTGCACAATACAAAATTATTTTTTTAGACAAAAGGATAGAGTACTAGATTTCCCAATCTTCTTCATCGTGCACTCCCTGACTTGCTTTCATCCATTCCAAACCTTAAGGACTGTAAGTTTTTACATCCCCTTTTTGTGCTTTTTAATCCTATTTAATTTACTATGTCAGCATGATTACGTATAAGTGACAGTTATATCGCCCCACATTTTGCTGTTCTTCCTTTGTGAATGTACCCAAAAAGAGGAATGATCACAAACAAGCTACTTTATTTAATTTTGGGTTCAACTGGAGGAAGAGGTACTAGAAACTAACAGTCAACATAAACAATTAGTTCGCTTTTTTCGTTTTACTGCGTTAGCTTTTGAGAACCAGTTGGCAAATTCATGGTGATGAAGGTATTGAACAACCGGCCTCTCACGTTAGGAGTTGAATTGATCAAACAACGATAAAACAATTATGTGGTGATTCAAGTACTCCCTGGCTAAGTGAAATACAGACCATGTACGAAATGCCCCCGAATTTTAATACAAGATTCTTTCTCAAAGCTTGAGATAACTATAAATCTACAGGTAGAATCGAAACTGAAGCAACAGGTCCCTGTGAAACACTTGTGTGTTCGTATAGGCAACAGTATTTATACTAGGGCAAATTTTTTTTCAAATAATAACAAACAAGTCTTGGTGAGTCTTTATAGCATTGATTTTCCTGATGGAGTGGTTCAGAATGTAACCGATACTCCCATTTCATCAGTAAGCGAAACTACGCATGTTTAATTGACAATTATGCAGCCTAGAAACTACTTAGATCCCAGTAGACAAGATATCAATTATTGTCCATACATAAAGCATTAAAACAGGTAATAAATATAATGAAACTCCATTCGATCATAAAGAAAATATTTCAATGCATCACAATCGGCCAGTACTGCAGACGAACTTAACTAGTTTGTACTTTTGCGTATGAGTGTGTGTAAAAAACTGGAATACAATGCATAACACTTCTGAAAATGGTTTGTGATTCACATCTTACCTGGCGCCCTTTCGCCTTGTAGCAGTGTCATCGGTAATGTATCCATCGTGGTTGCTTTCGTATTCGATCTACCGGGGATACGTAGATCTCGTGAATGAGTCCCAGGTGCAGCTACCTCACGAACTAAACTTCCATCTGATTTGGTCCGAGATAGCCATTGCATGCATGGGAATCGTAGTTCCACGCTGCCGGTGCTCACAGAACCGGGTGGCATGGAAGTTCCGACACGCAAGTACCGATTTGCATACGGCGGGAGACGAGATGAGATGGATGCGTTAGTCTGATCGTTGTTTACTGGACGCATACGAACCTCGGCCGGTAACCACTCTGGATAGCTACCAGATCCATCATGGCTAAGACGAATTTTGTATATCTCCATGACATTTGGCAATAGAATCTTATAAATATTGGCAACAAAATTAAAGAATGTGGTGTCAAGAACAGCGCTGATACATGGAAACACAAGCATTAATCAAAAGCACTCTAGTGAAGTGAACGGAAGCATAGGGTACTAGAGGAATACGTCAATTACCAATTTCAAATCACAGTTGCCATTGAATACAACTAGGTTTCCAGATTGAGGTATCACAAACAGTAACTACAATCGCAGTTATTCTTTTACATTCCTTACTGAATAACTTACTGCATAAAACATTTTCAGGAAACGAGGAGATGGACAACCAGAGGGCTGACATTTGGTGCAAGGAACGAAAGGGGGGGAAATTCAACGGTTGTGGTGCTGGTGGTAGTGGTGGTTAAAAAGCCACAATCCTGAGTGCGGTTTACTTGTGCCGAACACCAGTTTGAGCGACACCAATCAAGTCAGTAAGAAGAGAACAGCAAACGGTTCAGCCTTGACCCTGATCTAACCTCGCAAGTGCAGAGCAGCTTAATCATGATAACTGCATTTTTTCCTACTGATACATTTTTCTTGCGGATCCATCATGATTCGTGAGTGGAGATTGTAAAAACTGGGTGTTCCTAGATATCCTAGGTTCTGGGACTTCAGAATAACGACGCCTTTCTCAATTTAAGGCATTTATCTGTTGTGTGGGAATCTAAAATCAGCACCGGAATATCATTAGGTGAAAATGGTACAACCTGGTGAAGGGGATCAGTATAAACCTCCTTATTACTCAAGGTTTATCACGTTCCTCGCGCATTCAACAGTGCACGGCTTCTGAACTTTGAGTTTCCACAACCAACTAAGCGGCCACTTGAACACATAAGAAGCTGACACGAATTAGTTGCATTAATGTTGCTTCATAATACACCCTGGATAGTGCAAATGATTGGAAATTTTATTCATCAAATCATTCAGCATTACTCTGAGTTTAAGAAACCCTGGGCTTCGATGGGAGGTTTGGTAACATTCACTGGCTTGCAGGTTACTCATAGACTACACCAGAGTTCCACAGGTGGAACAGGACCTTTGCAGGATCTCTTCATATAGTACAACAACGCTCGGTCCATTGGTTCAGTTGGAAAACATTCACACTTGCCAACTAGTTAATTTGATAGAGATGGAGAAATGCCACCCCAATTCTTCCCGTTAACTGGTGACATGTTCCAAAGTCACTTTTTCGCTTTCGACGGAAAATTGATTGATTACATTGAAAATCTATTGCAGGTTGAACTCCTGCATACCGAACAAATCGGCTTAAATTTAATTTTTGAGTATGACTTTTAGTCAAACAATGCCAGTATTTTGAATTAGCTTTCTCCCGTAATGAACCGGAATAGAGAATACAGCAGGTTTAAGTTGTACACTTTGTATCCGAACATATTTCGCTGTATCTCTCCAAGTGCATACAGTAATAAGTTTACAACTGTTACAGTTTTTACCAAGTGCACTTTGGGGCTAAGATTTCATACTCAGAGGCATATAACGGTCTTTGATAGAGTGGACTGACGTTAGTAAAGGACCTAGTAGTATTGGTTATTTTTATTGATCATATTTATATAGGCTATGATCTTAGCACCGACAGGTAATTCACAAGTCCAAGTTAGGCTCACCGAACGGGGTGAGTGGGGGATTATGTGAATCATATTAATTAGGCGACCAAGAAGAATGAATATCGAATTTCACACAAGCGCACTCTCTCCGCGTAGTAAAACACTATTTTCCACAAGAATTACACATTGCTTCACTTTCAAAGGGGTCGAATTTCTCAGAATAGCCATGATTGAGAAAAACAATGTAATTAAATCCAAGTTAAACATCTCCATTACCGATTGTACCTGGTACACAAACAGGTTTTATTCATTAATCTCGCATCCCAAGGTTCATACTTTCCGGGTGAAGAGCCGGTGTGCCATGGTGAGTATTAATAAGCGTTCAGCCTGCATATTTATCATGATGAAAACTGGGTTCAGGGTTGACCCTTTCATTGTTCTAGGAATGTCAGATTCGTTTTCATCCTGGTGGTAAACGGGATTTGAAATGCTTAAAGCAACTGTTAGAGCAAGCAGAAATCAGTCACTTAACTGAAGGAAATCGTCTGATTTGGATAAAAAGCAGATCGGTGTGAAAGAACAGTATGCTAATAATTTCCGTAGCGCTTTTCGTGGTCGGAGACTGTAACATGTTGGCAACAACCTAAATTACTGTCATTGTGTTCGAGGGCAGAATATCGTTTATTTACAGTTGACAAAGGTACTTTTGCCACCTGGTAACACAACTCAGTGCAGTCTTCGTTCGAGAGTCAAGTAGTACTAACACAAAATGTTTGCCGTTCAACTTATTGTACTCCTTTCCTCGATTTATCGTTATTTTCTGTGACCCACTAAAGATAGATCCAGTGGTATGGTGAGTAATTTCATTCTCAAAACGAGTCCCATCAAATAAAAGGAGTGCATCGAGAGAAGAATATAGAGAGCAGACGGTACCGTGTAGAACTGGAAAGAGAAATTGTGATGATTTTTGGCCATCCGTAGTTGGCAGTGTAACTCTTGCACTGATGAAAGTGTGCTAGGGAATCATGCAATCATGCACACGTACGATGTTTGTGAAATTCTCCTGCTCCTGCATTTACTCCTATTGAGTGTGTATCTGATAAGATCCGATAATAACCATGATAGAATCCAATCACATAGGTGCTGTGAGGGAGGGGATTAATATCATTCACCTAGATGTCCTCTTGCACCGTGGACCGTGGACTTCCGTTGGGGCAAGCTCTTTCATAAGCGACTTCACGTTTGTGAGTGTAATACGGTACAGCGATTAAAGTTTGTGAGTAGACACAGATATGGTGCAGAATAGGGATTGTGAACCAGCTAGTTATCACTTCCTTCTCCCCCTATTCTGTCTTGACAAATCCAGCAACCGAGCACTCAAAAACCTTACTTGTTGAAAATTTTTCCATTCCTATAATGAGCATCTTGGAATGATAATTTTACTTTGTATTACTTAAATATAATTCACTCTGAAAGAGCAAACTCCAACTTCAAACTGAAAATGAAAAGTTGCCTCAGGTAAGCGAAACAAAATCATCTGATCCCCGTTCAAACGCACACACTCTCGAGTGATCACTACGGTCCACGTTACGCAATATGATGTCACTGTATGCCACAATGTGTGTGGCGGCTTCGTTTTACAGGTTAAGTGCCAATTCAGCTCATTGAGTTGGCCATGCATTTCATAGAACGATATGAAACCTGTCACGAAAAATTGAGGTGTTCACAGAACCATCTCACGTAGCCTGGATTAATGAAATGTTGTTACTAAACAGGCGTAGCAACTAAAATGATTCAGCAATGGTTTTAAATAGGGCTCAACGGGGCCCAGAGAACTATTTTCTACGCCTGTCAGTATCCATGCGACAGATTTTGAGGAAAACATTAGTATTTATTCCAGTCTCTTTGGACAAATAGACATCTATGAAATAAACATTCGAAGAAAGCCAGCGACAAAATCATGGGGAAAGAATAAAATTTGGGTAGAACCATCACTTCTAAATGAGTGTATGACACGAAAGCTGAACGAATTCCGGTTTTCAGAGGTTCTTTGCATACGCGTTGTACAACAAAGGAATGAAACACCGTTCGAAGGAGTTGCAACATTTGTCTTGAGATATTTTATGGAAAAACACAACATTAATTTAAAAACATAAAAGCATTCCCGGGCAATGGTGGCCCAGTGGAACGAGACCAAATTATCACCCCTAATATATGAAACTGGTTTTGATAAAATCTCAGTAAGCTGTTTTAAGCATTCAATTTATATAATCAAATTTCTCGACCCTTGGTAGTTTTTGTTCTGTACATTACAAAATCTCTACGCATTGTGGATTTGACCTTCGTCTAAGTTCCACAATCTTTCTTCCACGACGCAAAAGTTGCCGCGTCCGAAGAAGCTAACCACTTTGAATTACCTCCAGTCAAAAATAGAGGTCTTCCAGGAAAGAAAACAGATATGAGAAATTACTGAAATAAATGTGGTTTCAAACAGGCACGGACAAACATGCCAATGTTCGATTACACGCTCAAAGTAACGGTTGTGAATCCGTTGGGCTATGTAATTCTTGATTTAATACACAACGAAACGAACAGCTTGTAATAACCCATGAGATTATTCCAGCAGTTAAACTGTTAAATTACAATCATCTGCCTGAGAATGTGAGACTCGTAAATACGTAACTCGTCTATGAACTGCCTGAAATTGTTCAATATTTACCTCAAATCGATCGGTACAACCTGGTCGAAAAGGAGTCGGTTCAAGCTCATCTTTGTGCACCCCGTTGGGTAGATTGAGCCCTTCTCTTGTGTCTTCACCACTTGGATCAGGGAGAGTTCTCACATAGGCCGAACGTAATAGAACCGATTGAGTTGTCTGATATCGACTGCACACTGATAGGACAACTCTGCCGGTGCACGCAGTCAAATACGGTTCATCTGTGTCCGGATGAACTTTGGCCGAAGTGATGTGCACTATCCAAGTACCTTTAGTCAGAAGGGGATGTGAAACAGCAGAGAACAAACTCGGCGATTTATTGTGATCGCTGATAGCCTTTGAAATGGGCATAAATATATGCACTCACGGAACAAGTACATGCTATTAACTTTTTCATTAAACGAAACACAGAAGAGGTTTATGGGACGACTAACAACACTTCTATTGGTACAGTAGTATTTAAAGTAATATAAAAGGCTTACACCTTGAACAACCGTCCGTTTATTTTGACTTAAAAAACATTTTAAACTGTGAAAAGTTTGGAAGTCTTGGTGGGATTCGAACCCACACATTTATGTCACTTACACTTTTGTACAGCGCACGCTCTAAATCTGCCAAACAACATGGTTGAACTGATATTGCTCGTCGATTTTTCTACAAGCTGTTTTTGAGTGAATACTTTTGTTCCCTTGAATCTGATGAAGCTGTTTTGCTCCTTTTTGTTCTGTACATATTCTCTACAACTCCCAAATTGGAGACATTGAATCGAATTGGAAGAATTTTCAGTGTCCGGGTTTGGAGAATGGAAGGCTTTGGGCTTTGCCTTGGAAATATTTCATATATACGATCGTGATTGCTACAGGGACTCCATATATATATATATATATAGAAATTGTAAAACACCCTGATTTTCATCACATTTATTTCTCCCCAGCTCCCGATTTTCAGCTTCATTCATGGGATGGAATGTGATATTTCCTCACATCAGAGGTCCTAATATTCACTTATATTTTTACTGCTGTTGGTCAAATAACATTAAAACTTACGATTTCTCAACCTCGATAACTGTTTCTGGTGCATTTGTCATAAGATAGCAAAGCTTCAATAAAACAGCATCATTAGAACTTATTTGAAAAAAATACCTCACTAGCATGTTATCGATATTTTACTTCCATGTTCTGTTTGTCCTTCTTTAGATTTGAGCACTGGATGCAGCCGTTTTTGCCTGGAGTTCACCGAGTTTACTGTCCAACAGTACTCTCAGGTATTTTTAAATTATGAAGTTCAGCTTTCGAACTACTACAATTTTTTCGTGACACTCAGGGCAGCGCAAATTCAAACGGTGATACAAGAGAACTAGTAACATAGCTGGGAGAGATAAAGTTCGGAATAAATACGCTTCATCCATAACTATCAATATAAAAGTTGGAAATTGGAAACTGAAATGTATTTCCGAAATGAGAGTCATGTTGCGCGAGTTCGATCAACACCTGTATATGATTTGTTTTATCTCGAAAGGCCGATGACTTCTACAAACAGTCTACATATATAAATGAGAATATTGGTGAACCCGAGTGAGTAATATTCTTCTTCAAATTCCTGCCATAGTCACCCTTATTCCCATCACCTTGACGTGTATCGATAGTACTCAAATGAAACTGCTCCCGGTTCAGCAAACCAGAGCACCGGAGCATATGACATTGTACATCTTGACAAAGCTACTTCTGTCTATCCAAGTTTTATCTGCTGAATGTCGCTTTCGCATGTTTGTGTCAAGTTTTGGCAGCTTGCTACCAGCACATCTATAGTGAGTTGCTTGTAGCTTGTAAACCTTCCATTCCGAAACCACGAAGCAGAACCATTTCCTAAAGGCCCCACTTCATCGGTTAGGGATACCTGGGTATTTTAATCTCTTCGTTCTATACAAACGTAACCTTAGGTGGGGCTTCCCATACTTTTCTCGCAATCTCACACAAACAGGGCCCATGCCTCTCTTTTGGTTTTACAATGAACATTATTTCATTTATAATATAATTATTAGATAAACTCCAGAGAGTCGTAATACATAGTCACATGGTTGTCCGGTCAGCTTTCCTCTAGCGCAAACTAGTGATATCTAAGCACAGCTTGACATGTATTATAATACCCTGATCATCTCAACGAAACAGGTTTTCTACTCCACTCTGATAAACTTGTGACAACATTCTCATCCGAATGAAATAGTTTCAATGAAAAAATGACCCTGTGTGTAAAAGCGTGACCATTTCTTCCTAGCCAAACAATACCCATTTCATTTCAGTTAAGGTCAGATTCTCGAAACATCACTCCCGATATATCCACATGCGGATTAGAGTTGCTTCAATACTTCAGAGTTTTACTCGTCATCCATCATGATGCAGTGCACTTTTGGTTGACTTTGACAACATAATATTTACACTGAGTGTTCTGTCAACACAGTGAGTAATGAGTTTCTTACAAATCAAACGATAAAGCTAATAATCAACCGGTAATACCGAACCTACTATCTTCAACTAACAAGGCGTTTCCGACCAGTCTCAATCTTATTGGCGATTCATTCTCAGAGCAAGTACTACCATTTCACCGTGGCACATGTATTGATGCTGCGCAGTTAATAAGTAATATCCAACCATTTTCTGAATCCAACTCAATCATTCCAAACCCTTTTGGCATCAAGATATACACATTTACCAAGGCGATAGAAACCACTTATTAGGTTTTGTGATCCCTTTGTTATGAGGCAGTTGAACTGACAACCGTTTCTAAGCAACATCAGATATCTATGTGCTCGGTTTGGTTTGAGAAAATCAAATGTGTATAGCAATATGGGAATATGACCAACGAGTATTCCTATTTGGAAGTGTTATACAGGAACAGTTATGGAATGATTCGGAAGAGTTAAGCAGGTTGTGCAACAACAGTAAATTTAGGGTTAAATTTTCGGTTTGTTTTTCCAATACATCATCATTACAATTTCTATTACGATTATTAATGCTACTACTAGATGACAATTGTTTAGTTATACCCATACGTTTGATATTAAGAACTACATGAACAGAGTGACTACTGACTTGTCGTCACACCGGTGCGCGTGAGGCTTCGGTTTCGCTGAGCGTAAGATGCAGTAATCGTTTGACGTGGTACTGACCAGTCCAGTTTACGCGATCGAGATATAATTTCGTCCGTTCGGTCTTTACTGTCTGTTGCATCACGACTGAAATGATTAATGTTAGGACTGGATGTGGCATTCTGTAACGGTCGGGATACCAGTCGTTCCGACCCGCTTGCCACGATTTCCTCTGGTCCGTTGATTAAATCTTCCACTGTGACGATCTATTGCAGGAAAGTAAAGACAAAACATATCATGATGCAACAGAGGATTTACAGTTTTCGCGCACCCAAAAATCATATTTAAAATGGTCAAGGAATAAACAAGCAATTGGAAAATTAAAGTTACTTGTTGATTCTATTTTCCTCCGCCAATGAAGTATGACTAAATATTAGATACCGCAAATAGTTTAGCAAAGTTACTGGCAAAAAATGCGTTGGTTCTCTGTTTGTCAATCGGGCGGTGGTGGTCCGGTGGTAACGTCACCAAATTATCACTCCGGGGATGTGTTTAAGCCCCACCACCACCGCCTGACTTTCTCCACTGTGTTGTGAATGACAGACTTTTGATTGGCCACTTCCCTGAAAATTTTATCTTCAGTTAAAAGAAGTAAAATAAAAAGAGTGGGTGTGGTTCCAACAACTTCTTCAGAACTCCGAAACCTATAAGTCATCATTCACGTCCTCCTAGTTTTATTCAACCAAGCAAACTAGAAACATCTGTAGAGGCTCTCTTCTGGCCTTCATGATGGCTTCCATCAGGGTTGCCGCGGTGATTTTCTAACTGCAAGTACAGTATTCACAACATTCAAACGTATTTGACTCACCTCGGTGCTCCGAAAGGGTTACATGCAACTGCCTTTCTACCAGTGCTGTTTGTTCCATTACAGCTAACTGAAATTACGACGCAACAACGAAATTCAGTTTCGATGGGTCTAGTAAGTGTCTTGCAATCACTTGGTATCGCGTATGATCTTCGTGGGTTTTTATCTGTATATTTCACACTTAGGGAGAAAGTGTATTTACCACCCATCTGACGAGTCTCAACCAAAATGAAACCGCTATTCAATGCTATTCGCCTGAGATCACGCAATAATTTTCTTCTCAAACGTGAATAAGGTTTCATCTATTTTCACAATCTTAAACTAGGTTTTGAGAACCTTTTAAAGTTGTGTTACAAATCTGCTTTGCCAGTTTACCTACAATTCGAACTAGTCGCACTGTCAATGTCAATGGAGGAAAACTTAAACGTTTAAATTGTCATTTTCGTTTTTTCTCAATTCGCGATATTGTTTTAGATTTTTGCAAACAATAGCACTAAGTCTTCGACCAAACCTCATCACTTTCTATTCACCCTTTCTAAATATTTTCCTTCTGGTTATAAAAATTAGAATGATCGCAAATAGGATACCAGATTGTTTAAATACCAGTCAAAAGCTATCCGAGGTTAACGCAATGTGAATAACAACCCTTTGGTGTGTGTGTGTGTGTGGGGGGGTACATTCCGACTCAGACCGGATTTGGGTATTTTTATTTTGCTCCTCTTTCGTTCTAGTCTGTTCAACTCTGTGTCAGTGCTTCATTCTATACTGTTTATTTTACAGACCGAAAAAGGTGTAAAACGCTAATGATTAAACGAAACAAAAAAGGTCCCTGAATAATCAAACACTTCGTGTATTGTAGTGACTGATGGAAATATTTCAATCCGTAAAGATCCACTTACTATTGGATTGTGCTATCCGCTGTCTCTGACACACGATAAACTTGCTGCTATACTAGGTAAATTAGTCGTACTTAATTAAAAATATTTTCTTGTTCCTCTAACCTCTATGGCCTCAAGAACTGGGAAGGGTTCCAGGGAGTATTTTTCAATTAATTTTATTTGTTTTTGAGCTTAGTTTTATTGATTTAGTGTCGACCTCACATTTGGCTTGTACAAAAATGTTAGTTTTATAGATTTCCTCTTGATTTCCTCAATGTTAGGGTCATACGCTCAAAAGCATTCTGATTTTGTTGTTGTTGTTGTTTGGTTTTACCTTAGAGGTAAACAACAGATAATGTAGCGAACAGACTTATTTTCGGAGATTCTTCATATTGTGTTTTTCCATGTATTTGAAAAGCGAATGAGGTCACGATCAGTGTGAACACAGGGAGAAAATTTTCAAGTTCCATAGCTATGTGTGATCGAACTTTTGGTTTAAAGTATCGCTCAAACAGTGCGAATCACCGATATGAGGTCAATCCCCAGATAGGTTGAAATCAATCAGTCTATTTTTTCTCATTTTGACTATGTGTATGCTCACGACATGAACATGTTTTGTTCAGATCATAAGTCTAAACCTGCTGATTTTGATCATCCAGTTGTCCCACTCAAGGTAAATCGTAGGCTTATATCAAAAAGAACTATGGCATATGAAGTTAGGTGACAAGTAAAACCATCGGTTAATGAGTATCACCAAAGGTGCTCAAAAACGGAATTTAATAATCTTCAGTTACCAGCAAATGATTATTTGAATTCATTTTATGAAATAAGAAATAAGTTATACATAGCATTCAATAAGAAAACTTGAATGAAGAATATTGGAATCGTTGTTTGGTTGTTTTTAATTTTTTTTTATTATCAGTAGGTTAACATCATCGATCACAAAGAGCGACAGAACTCGCGGAGCATGTTTGCTGCTCCACTGCCGAATGAGTGGATTCTGGGACCGGTTGTCTAAGCTTTCTAACATACAATGTGCTAAAAGGCATGCTTGAATGTATAACACACGTGGTTATCTCAAAACAGGCAGTCTTCTTAACTCATCGATTTGTTTTAGGCATTCAAAACCGGAATACTATACAGAGTTGATCAATGCAAATGTTATGCATCTTACTTCTACACAGCATCTATTGCCAAAGCACAAGTGAATGAATGTCAAAATTTTGTTTTCAGCTTACGCTAGTCGCAAAGCCTCCTGAAAGCGTGAGAATAGGCGCAACATACGTGATGGACAGTGTGTAGCTCGTCATAGGTATCGTAACAGCTCAAAATCGGAAACGTTTCAGTTCCGTCTTCAAACAGAGTCCATCATCTTGTCCCATAAGGTTGAATAAATGGAATTATATAAATAATGTTGACCGCATACCATCGGGAAATCGTAATAGATCAGCAGAGTACAGCCGGTATTAGAGCTGGTTTCGTTCAATTGTGTAACAAAATGCATTTTGCCGTATTTGTAACCCGTTAAGGAAACTATCAAACCAGTGAAGTGTTTAAGACGCCTTTGAATATCTTTCAACTAGCGCTGCACATCACAAATCGTTACACAATCTGGTTGAGCTTAAGATTTTATTAGAGTCAACGGTTTCGTTGGAATGTATCCGCATTACTCGATAATCGACTAGTTGCCAGTCGATGCGTGGTTCCATGATTAAACCCGAATTCGCCTTCAAACTATTTCATCCGTGTAAGGAACCATCAACAGTGAATATCCACCGAGTTCACTAATGGGTACTTGAACTTGAGAATTGGAAGTTGTTAATAAGACGCACCGGTACTCATCAGTTTACTTCACATGAGCATTACAAAGGTAAAGATATAGCGCCTATCCATCACTACCGGTGAAATTACCTGAAATTAAGCAAAATATGATCGACTGCTTAGCAATGGCTCCTTAAAAGTGAGCACCAAGTGTGCTCAAAACAATTAAACTGGGTTTTCCCACTGATGAAACATAAAATCCCAACAAAAGATGAAGTTGAGCAGACATCCTCGTTTAGTAATCCTGCTACGCAATCGCAATCGGTATCTTTTGGTGTACATTGGAACGCACTGTTAATAAAGTGCCCCGCAACCCGTCACTTCGCGTTTGAAAGCTGTTACCGCTTACCCCATCCCTGGTTCAGTTTTTCACCATTTGCACTCTTCACAGGAAAGCTTGCATAATCAGACCTGTTGTATCAAGCGTAAGTTTGCTATATTGAATTATGAAAACATAAATCGCATTTTGAAACGTCATATACTCATTTTTAGATACGGGTTCATTATTTAACTAATTTTACTTGGAAATAAAAGACAAATTTGTATTGAAATTCGTTTATTGTTCTTGAATAAACACTACTGTATTCCAGTCACCATAGCAACCAGATTTCCAT